GGCGGGCTCTGTGTGCGCGCGCCGAATGGTCAACGGTGATGGGCGGGGCACAGGGGCGGCGGGCGCCGGGCTGCGAAGCGTGGCGCCCGCCCCGATAAGCCCCCAACAACAACCCCTGCCGCATTGCTGCCACATAGCTGCCTAGAGAGCCAGTGGGGGCGCGTGCTGCCAAGCCCAGGCCGCCCTCCCTGCCTCGCCCCGCGGGCGCGCGCTGGCGTGCGCTGCGCGGCCCGCGGCGGCGGCGCTCTCGCGCGGTCAGGCCCGCCGCCGAAGCGGCAGACGCGCCGGGTGGGGCGCAAAAGGCAGTCGTAGGGGCCGGCGTGTGGAGGGGCCAGCGGCATGCCGCCGTGCTGGATGATCGTTCTGCCGTGGAGTCCGAATGTCCATCGATTTTAGAAAGCCGGGGCTGCCGCGGTGTGCACGCGGCCACGTGCACCGCCCACTGTTCGACGCCCGCACTTCTGCGGCGCCTTTGGCCGGGTGCGCGGGCGCATGCGCGCGCACGTATGGGGAAAGTGGGACGCAACATGCGTGTGCCACGCTGGGCAAGGGGGCCGGGCACTGGGGCCGCGGGCCGTTTTGAGTGCAGGGCCTTTGAGTGGCTGCTCGTCTTCAGGCCGGCCCGGGCAGAACAGTGATGTCATCTGGTATCAAGTGCTGCCAGAGGGTTGGACAAAATCCTAGTCAAAATAGAGGGGATGCGCCTGGATACACGCGGAAGCTCCGCGCCACGCGTGAAACACGCAGGTGCGCGCCCTGCGGCCGCCGCCTGGGAGGTGGGGGCCCGACCGGCGCCGGCGCGCGGCTCCAGGGCGCCCCGCCCCCCGCGGCGGCGGCGCGGAGGGGCGCGGGCGGGCGATGGTTTGTTGTCAAAGGCAGAGGGTACACGTGCGCCGCCGCGCCAGGCGCCAGGGGCAAAAGTGGCGCGGCGGGCCGGCAGGGCGGGCGGCTTCTCAGCGGCTTCCCTGACGCGACCCCAGCCGCGCGAGCCCCCGGGCATGAGCCTAGCTGGATGAGCGCCGCGCGTCTCGCGCCAGGACCGGCACGGGGGGCGCGCGCGGCGCGCGGCGCGCGCCGGCGGGCGCCCGCGTGGGCCGGCGAGCTGCTGAATGTGCGCGCACGGCGGCGGGGATGAAAAAACAAGACGTGCCCCCGCCCAGGCCCCGCCCGGCCGCCTGGCTCGGCGCTCGGCGGGAATACCCATTTTTTGTGCCAAAAGCTGCGCAGAGCGGCGCGACGGGAGGGCGAGGCGAGACGCCGCTCCGCGCTGCACCAAGCCGCGCTGGGTAGGCGCAATGATTTTGCTGGCGGCTGTCGGGGGCGGTGGTCCTTGCGAGCGGCGCAAGACGCGTGCATGCATGGCGCCGCGCTGGCAGCCGGTACGACCTCGCTTCAAGGCTGTGTTTGGAGATGCTTCTGCCCGCCCGCCGCAAACCACGAGGGGAGGGCAAGAGTGCCGGGGGGCTGCGCGAGAGAGCGTGCGCGTGCGTGCCTGCGTGCGTGCGCGGCGCGCCTGCGGGCCCGCGCCGGGGCCCTGGAGGCTGGAGCGCAGTTGCTGCTCCCCCTCAGGCAGGGCCCCGCTGCCCCTCTCTGCGACGCATCGCGCCCACTGCGCCTCGGCTGTCGCCCCCTCAGTGCGGCAGCGAGTAAGACGGCTGCAGCTGGCACGAGCCGCCGGGGCTGTAGCTGAACGATCGCCTCACGCCGCCCGGCCCGCGCAGCCCAGGCAGGCCCTGCCCGCCGCCGGCGGCGCTGCCGAGGCCGCCGGCGGGGATGCCCGGGCCGCCGCCGCTCGGCGGCGGCGTGCAGGCGGGCGCCTTGAGGGCGCCGATGAGGTTCTGGATGATCTGGAGATCTCTGATCAGCTTATCATCGACCATGCCCTCATCTTTCTTGAGGGAGAGCTGGTGGATTAGCGCGGAGATGTCGAGGCCGCTCTCCAGGTCGAGCGCCCCGCCCGGGCTCGGCGGCGGCGGCGCGCCGGCGCCGCCGCCTGCGCCGCCGGCGGCGCGCGGCAGCGGCGGCGGCGAGAGCGCGCTCATGGTGCGGTACATGGCGGG